AGCAAGACTCGGAAGCTATGCCTGGCAGCATAGGGTCTCTAATACACAGAGAAAGTAAGGTGCCTTATAATGATATATAAAAGATCTAAAAGGCTCAGCAGTGACTCATCAAGAGGTAGCAAATGAGAAATGGGGAGTGCAGGTTTTTAAATGTTTGCCCTTCACGGAGCTTAGGTGTTTTAGGAAGTATTAGGAAGAAGCATCTTTATGTTTCAAAATAGCTACAGTTCTCACAGCCTGGGGGATTTTGGTCTTTTTGATGAAGAAAGATCTATTTGCATGATAATCCATGGGGTAGGTCAAACATCAGACAAACAGCATTCATCGCAGGGTTTGATCATCTTTGTTTAGTGCTGCTTTGTTGGTGAGTTCAAGGGAGTAAAGTACCACCCTGATAGGGGAAGATCAAGAGGGGCAACTGAAGTAGAGGATATACAGTAGTCTGTGGGACCAGATGTACCCAAATGCCTTGAGGGAGTAGGCTGATATCACTGCAAGACCACTCTGTCATCTGCAGATGCTCATGGTGACAGCAGAAGGTCCCAAATAATTGGAAAATGGTAAATATGCCCTTTTTCAAGAAGGAAAGAAATCAGAAAGCTATGTTTGTTCAGTCCCTTTAGAGAGGGGAAAGGGGAGACCTAGCTGCTGTGTTCAATTACTTCTGGATAGTTAGAAGGAAGATGGAGCCAGCTGCTTTTTGGAAGTGTACAGCAAAGGGATGAGAGGCAATGGACACAAAAGGCAAAAAGAGCAATTCTGAGAAATTTGTTTGCATGTAAGGGAGAAAATCCTTCATGATGAGGGTGGTCAAATGCTGGAAAAGGGCCAGAGAACCTGGTAGGTAAAACCTTTGTCCTTGGAGATATCTGAAACCACAGGACACAGCCCGAACAACCTGATCTAACTTTGAAATCAGCCCACCCATGATTGGGATCTGGATCCTCAGCCCGACCAGTTCTCCAGAGATCCCTTTCAACCCATTTTTAAACATGATTCACAGCTTTCCATCCTCTTAAATGAAAGCAACAGTCTTGCTCCCCAATGACATTGAATGTGTACATGTATCTGGGTTGTTTTTTCAGCCTGAAAGATGTCATTACTCTATGAGCAACACTAATATTGGTGTGCATGAGCAATCCATGTAATTTTATATCTCAGGAGAATAATTTTAAATGTCAAAACCAATCATTATGGTGTTTATCCGTATCGCTTATGTGTTGTAGAAAAGAAAGAATGGTTACTTCTGTGAGTTTTGGCAGTCAGTTTTTCCATTTATGTGGAAGCTTTGAAAGATCAGAGATTCCAGTATGCTGGTTAAAACCCCTATTTCCTTCAAAATCCAGTAACCAGCATGATTTTAATAAATGCCTGTGGGAGACTTATTAAAGGACCCCAGAATAACTTTGCTCCATTGCCTTTTCATTTTACATCAGCTTTCCAGGAGATAATTGCCTTTATTTTTGTATGTGAATATTTGAAATGTACCAGAGTTTTTAAAGAACTTAAAATTTGGTGGACCAGATTCTCATCTGTGACAAAAACACAAAATGTGTAACTGTATCTGTATGCACATTGTAAAGGAGACTTTTAGGTGCTGTTTGACTGTTCTGGCCCACAGAGCATCAGGATGATAAACACAAATCATTTACAGCTGCTGACTTTTGGAATCCATACTTCAGAATATCCCCATCTTTAGGGGATGGCAACAGAGGAATGTTGTAGAATGATGCTGCACATCAGGCTCTAAGCCACTGTAGGTCTCCTTACCTTTGAGGTATTCCTGATGAGAGCTGGGGTCTGTTTCTGCTTATTTTAATACCTGAATTTCAATATTAAGAGAGATGTAAGACGCAAGAGAAAACCTAATCTTTATAAATGAGAAACCAAGAACATAACTGTTAAACTGAAGAACAGTGCCAAAACCAGCACTTCTAGTTAGCTTAGGTTAGTAGCATGGTGGGTGATAGAAGGGTAGGAATCTCTTGGGAGAGATTAAGGAGCAAAATTGTTGGTAAACATCAGTGAACTCATTAGTTCTTAGAGACAAAATCTGCATGTGTCTACCAAGATATAAGTTTTCTATCTAGCAGTTCAGAACCTGCATGCCTTTGAGTATAATCAGTGTTTAAAAAAGATCCAAGTATGCGCAACCATTCAGAAACAAGGTTTTATTTTTCTGATTTTTATGCTGTTCTGTTTGCCTTGAAATGGAAATGCTGAAGTTGTTCCAAACACTGTACCTGTTGTGAGTGCCAGCGCCCATTTGCATGTTTTATGCTTTCCTTTTAGCATATGGAAGAGCCCTACAAATTGATGAAAAGTAAGAAATATGACACTAATTCAAAAACGAAGCAAGCTGAAGGAAGAAAGAGAGAACATTTGTATAATAATTGTGTTTTGTAACTGTATTGTGTTCTAAGGCCACAGTATTCAGCTGGGGATTTTCCAGTCAGAAAGATATAAATACAGGCTGTGTAGGACAAAGACTGCCAATCTGGTATTCCCAGAAAATGGTAAATTTATCATATCGTGCATGTGCAGCATGTGCAAATGCACCCTTAGAGATGAGTCAGGCTTTCTAAGTAAGCATCTGTAAACCAAGCTGCACTGTATAGGTGCAACGGATCATTTCAGTTCTTCCCAGGAGTGTTGGCCATACTATGAGAGCATGTAGAGAAGCTTCCTGCAAGCACGTCTTTCTGCATGGTGTCACACAACCTGTGTGTGAGTACTGCAGACTTGTGCAGATATTCAGATGTTGTGCAAAGTGATCTGGAACAACCGCATGCATGCAGCAGTAGCACCACATCATAAATAATGACCACATTTTCCAAGATTTGCACGTATGACATTCCTGACTTTCGAAGCAGGACAGCTTAGCTATTGCTTTGTCTATTGCTTTTTCTTCTGATATTTGCGTGTGACATATCTGTATTGTTTAAACTGTGTGATAACAGTTTTGTGTCTTCAGATGTGCTTGCCTGATTTCTGTAACAGCAGGACACCCGTATGAAACTACCAAGTATCCTCTGGTCACATAAAACACAATCAACTAGAGTGTAATGATACATTCAGCTAATGTAAGTATATGTGCTCCTATAATTACAAGGCATTTGCTACATCTAAAGTGCAACAGCTGCTGTAGTTGCGTATTAGTTGCTGTAGTTGCATTTTTAGTGTGCTTTGACTGCTTTGAGTCCAGTAACAATACTTTTGGTCCTACACTGACCCACGCAACAGGAAAGGACCCGTTGCATTGGTAGGACAGGAGCATCCAGCCCCTGTGGAGCCACGTTAGTTTGAATCTGCCTCAATGTACTGAAATTACGCTGCTGATAGCAGTATAGTCTTGTTTGTTTCAGTTCCCTCTGCATTATTTTTAGCTGTCTGCAAACACAGAAACACAGTTACTGACTAGGGAAATCGTTATGTTATTGTACCAGCTTCCAGAGAATGAGGTAAGACCACATTTCCCTTTACAGCCAGCAGCCTTTTAATTTGGCTGCAGTCTGCATCTAGGCATATGTGCATTGTAGTGACTACTCAACAGCAATGGTAATAACCATGTACCAGGCCACTTCTAACTTGCCCTTTCCATGCCAGCCTCTTGGGATTTCATCCTACAGCTCCACCACTGTGTGTGGGCAGTCAACATTAAGACTTCATTTTGCTGTTCCTTTATTTTTTGACTGCATGGACCTTTACGTCTGTATTTGCTTTGAAAAGAGTAATTCAAATATTCTACAGGTCCTTACTTACATGGAAAAACTCTAGCGTGAACAATAACAACTGGGGAAGTGTTTTGCTTCCCTCTTCTGTTTCTCACAGACTTGACTATCAACATTACAGAAGATGTGATGACAGTTAAGGATTCAACAGAAGCTTCTCAAAAAACATGCCATTATACTAGCTGGTCCAAGTGAAATACAGAAAACATATGATTATCAGTACTTCTTAATACTGTGTGCATTCATCCCCATTTAATATAGGAGTGGGCAAGAATTCCAGGAGAAAACTTTGAATTTGACTCGGATATTACTGTAATGAATGAGGGCCCTCTCACCTTTGGCTCCCTCTACCTCTCTGCATCCCCTTTTGGAAAGCACAAAATACACTGAAATATGTGAGCAAGCTTTTACTCACCTACCCAAATTTCATAGAATCCTAGAATCACAGAATGGTTTGGGTTGGAAGGGACCTTAAACATCATCTGATTCCAGCCTTCCACTAGCCGAGGTTGCTCAAAGCCCTTTCCAACTTGGCCTTGAACGCTGCCAGGGATGGGGCAGCCACAGCTTTCTCTGTTCCACTGTCTCACCACCCTCATGGTAAAGAATTTATTCCTCATAGCTAATCTAACTCTCCCCTCTGTCAGTTTAAAGCCATTCCCCCCCATGTCGTGCCATTACACGCCCTTGCATAAAGTCCCTCTCCGGATTTCTTGTGTTAGACCCTCTCCAGATTTCCCTCAGTTAACCATCAGTCACTGCAGACGACTGCGACCCACCACCCGTCTTTGAGCCGAGGAAGAAGAGGCCTTCAAAACCGCACCCGCACTACGCTCCCCCGCCACCCGAAGGTGGGGATGCCCGGACCGAGCCACCCACCACTCGGGCACCGCCCGGAAACGGGGCTCGGCCGAGGCTTCCCCGCCGTGCGTGACTCCCTTCTCCCTCTGGAGGGAGACACAGCCCAGCTTTTAGCTGCCGGCGCCGCGCCTCTCCCGCCCCTGCTCCAGCAGCCCCGGCCCCACTGCCCCGAGGGAGCTGCCTCCGCGCCCGGCGCCCATCCTGCCCCCGCCGCAGGGGAAGGGGGTCCCTGGGGATAGGCGGCGGGATCCGCGGGGATCTCCTTCTCTCCGCGGCCACGTGCGCCTGTGCGGAAACTTCGCACCCTCCGCTCGGGAGGGAACCGGAGAGAAGGGGAGGGAGGGGGGGGAGCCGTGCCGTGGGGGCGGGCGGGAGGTGGCCCAGCCCCGGTGTGCGCGGGCCGCGGGAGAGGCGGAGGGCGCTGTCAGCGGAGCCCCGCTCCTCGGTCACACAGAGCTGCTGCCGCTGAAGGGGCTGGGGAGGAGAGCAGCGCCGGAGCTGGGCGGACACCGGCGAGAGGAAAAGCGTCCCTCCCGACCCCAGCGCAGGGCGCGCCAGGAGCTGCCGCTGCCCGTCCGACCGCCCGGGGCGGCTCCGCGCTCCTCCGAGGTGCGGGGCGGTGCGCGCAGGCTGGGCACGGAGCGGCTGCTGCCGCTGCTGCTGCTGCTGCCGAAGGTGAAGCTCTCGCTCTCCAATTACTTTTCCCAAGAGAGAGAAGGAGGCAGCAGGAGGGGGAAGTCGTGCTGTGTGCGAAGCCAAACCAGAGATGCTCTAACGGAGGTATTGCTGCAGGACGCGCCGGCTCTTCCTCCCTTCCTCTGCCGGCGGGGCTGAATCGGGACCTCACGCAGCTGGCGGAGGGGCAGGAGCCGGACCGAGCTGCAGGACTTCTTCACCCTCCGCTTTTCCGAGAGCTAATCCATATCCGACCCCTTTTATTTTAATTTTTATTATTATTATTTCTAATACTCTGAAATCGTGCACGAGAAACACTTCAAGTCTCCCCTCCTTCCCTTCCCACGTACTTCACCCTCCCTCTCGCATCTCTTAGCCGGATTCCTCGTATATTCATTCCCAAAGAGGCGGGGGGACACCCGGCAGACGATTGCCCGCTCCAGCCCGGCCGACCCGAGCCGACCCGAGCAGAGGGGAGCCGAGCGCGGCGCCGCTCCGCTCGGTGCCCGCGGGCACTGGCGGGGCGCGGGGCGTGTGCCGGCGATGCCCGGGCGGTAAGGCTGGAGCTCCCCCCCGACGTGAGGAGGCCGATCCCTAGGTGTTTCCAGCAGGAAGCGGGGCTGCAGGTACGTGAGCGGAGGGCTCCCGGGACGCGTGTCTGTCTGCGCTGCTGGGGGGGAGCACACACACCAGGAGGTACCCTCCGCGGCTGCGGAGATCCCGCGGGGCGGTGGGCAGGGAGCGGCCGCGGTGGGGCTAGGCGCGGGGCGGCTGCTGCGGGCGAGCGGGTGTCTGCCCTCCCGCTGCCCAAAAGTTGCAGAGAGCCGCTGCGAGGAGGCAGGAGCTGCTTCGCCGCCCTTCGCGGCTCTGGCCGAGCGCCGGGGCAGCTGCTCCAGCCCGGCGCCGGGCTCGTGTTCTGCTTTTTAATAGAGCTTGATTCTATTCAAACGGACGTTTCAGCAGAGCCGGGGGAGGGGAGGGAAAGGGGGCAGGGGAACCCACCCGTTCTTCAGCCAGACTACTTGTGTAGGAAAGGTGGCCGCTGGCTTGCAGCCCCCGCGGGCACTCAGGGGTTTACTCTGCTTTGGAGCCCGGAAGCTTCGCGACCGCCTTCGAAGTCCCTGTAGGAAAACCTTACAAAAAGAGTTCTTAAAAGACCGTTCATGGCTTCAGTTCTTCCTGTGCGTAACGCTCCCCAAGTTGTGGTGTAGGTAGTATGAAACGTACCTTGTGTCTCCACGTTACTTTCTTTCATTTCACTGAACTCATTTACTTACTGGATACGGTGCCGGTTCTGTATGCCACAGCGAAAGGGCTTTTCCTTTATTTCACCTCTTTTATAGATTTGCAAGAGAAAGTTTTAGAATAACCTGCTTTGTTCCCGTGGAAGTGTAGGATCGGACACCGGGGTATTTAGGCAAGGAGTAAAGAGCAGTAGCTTGCACTGCTCTGTTAGGAGTTGCCATGCATGGCTCTTATTGCTTAAAGCATTTTAAATGATATGTGTAGTTACAGTTGTTTCTTTCCAGCTTTTGCTTGGAGATAATCAGTGGGTTTTTTTTCCAGAGCACTAAGTACCTCACTCCTACCAACCCACCCCCCGGTAGGCACCGGCTCAGTATTTAAAGAACCATGCTTTGACTCCTGCAGAACTGTCAATTTAAATAATAAACATACTCCCTGAAAGCCCCATAAAGCATTCTGGGTGTTAGGGTCTTCTCACAGCAGTGGATACATTTAAATTACTATTGACTAAGTGATAATTGTTATCTGGTATCTCAGTTTTGCTAACTAGTTTCAGACATTAGCTTTCAGCCTGCTGTATGTTTAACACTTTAAAGGTGTTTTATGGGATGATCCAAGTGAAGTCAAATGGATAAATTAAGATTCTTTTTTTTCTATAGTGTGGGGTAAAAGCTAGAAAAATAGTAGTTCAGTGGTACTAGGAATATAGCTTAGCTGGAGTTAGGAAAGAGCATATTAAGGCAGTTTTATCGGGGGTGGCAAAGGTTACATCTTTCATTATACTTTTTCACAGTAATTGTGCAGTCATTTCATACTGATGCCTAAATAGGTCTGAGTGGTTAATTAGCAGTAGTAAAGTAATTCACATGAATTTCATTATTAATATTTTATTTCAGAGAGCTGATACTGCTGAGGCAATACTGAAAGCTGTATTTTTTTTTTTTGTTTCATAAAGTCCCAATTTCCAAAAGTACGGTACTGTTACTCATTTAAATGTAAACTACCTAAGTGCTGTAATTTCAGTGGAAAGCTTTGTTCAGTTTGTTAGCAGACAGCAAACGAGGATTACTATGCACTGGTTCCACATGTCGTTTGAATGTAAGGGGGCTTTCAAAACTGTGGTATTAATTTTAAACACACTGCTGGTAGTGGGTGACTTTCAGATAAAATCTTGATTCCTGTCATGCTGTTTTAATCAGAGAATGATGACTGATCTGTCAGGATCTTATCATACTGGACATGCACGGTAACCTTTTTACCTGTCTCTTCTTACGATACGAGAGATCTCAGCTTTATGTGTAGATGCTTGTAATGCACTTGATAATTCTGGTGGGGAATGCATGAAAACAACTTGTTCTGAATAGAAGTAAATAGATGCGTGTACAGATGGATATTGAGGATTGCTTTTACTAGCAGATTGCAAAGCGATGATTCATTGAACCATATCTAGATTTACATAAAACAAATAATACTTTACACTGAATTGTAGTGACAGAGAAACATGTAGCAGCCAAGAAGTTCCATCATTTTGTCACAGGTGACGACAGACTTGATAAAGGACATCTTTACAGATGCAGGCTGTATGCTTTTGGTGAGCAAAACATACCATGGAATTTTTCAGACCTGAGCATCTTCACACTTAAATTTGTGGCTGGCTGTATAGTGCTACTAACCAACCTGTGTAAAGCTTAAATAGTGTATTAGAAATATGTTGCATTAATTATGTTGTGTGTTCTACTTGCTATAAATAAGTAATGGAACAACGCTAACTAGTTATAACACTAAAGGAAATCACTGACTTTGGAAGACAGAAAATCACATTACCTAATACTCATGTAGACAAAAATGTGATCACCATCTTGAAAAATTACTCTGAACGATACAACTATCAGTGAGGAAGCAGTTCTGGTTTAACTTCTGCAGGATTGTATTAGAAATGCTTCATTAAGTCACATCATTCTGCAGCTGTTTGTTCACTGAAAATTCGAATAAAAATCAGGAAGTTTATGCAGCAAAGCAGTATTATTTCCTTTGTTAAGTACTGAAAGTTCAAACAAACATGAAAAAAACCAACCCTTTAGGATTAGTGTGTCAGGAACACTGAGTACATCCTATTTTTGTGATATATGGATGGCATTTACTGATGCAATTCATCAATGTATTTATTATTCAAACATCATGAAACAAAGAAGATAAATGAAAGTAAACAAAGGCTGCATGAAAACACACAGGCTAAAGCAAGGGAAGACCCCACAAATCTAGTTTATTAATGTTCAGTTTCATATTTACAGTCTATGTTTAAACATCTCATTTAAATGTTTTTGTCTCATCGATTTTCTACTACAGCTCCAGGTAATTCAGGGAGCAATAGCTTTCATTTGAAAATGCATTTTCGATTTATCTCTTGAAGTACTGAATTTTAAAGGTATTGAGGCAAAAAGTTGTGTTTGGATTAATATGAAGGATGTGTCCTATGCTAGCAGAGCTGAATACTGATCTGTCCCCATTCACGACCATTTTTTTGTGTTAGGAGGGGCATCCCAAACTGATGTAGACTTTCATTGCTCCGTTGGAGTAGTTGAAGCTCTGACATTTGAACCAGCTGGAGTTTTGCGCCATTATCTTAGATCACTGAGTTTAAGTGTGTGCTTTAGAAGGATTTTGCTTACTTTTATGTTTTTTTTAGGATAGAAAAAATTTACACAGTATGCTGAGCATCATGGAATCCACTGTAATTGCACACCTTCACATTTGAAATACTTTTTGCAAACAGAGGCCCACTCTTGGAGCTATTTCAGCAGGAAATTTGGCCCTGTGGTTTGGTTTTGTAAGCTGTTAATGTATACTTCAAACCACTCCTCCTCATAACTCAGTTCAGATGTGTAAAACTCATCATGCATAGGAATGAATGTGGAAACATCAACAGTAATGTCATTCATTTTTTTCTGGTGACAGCTATAGAGCTATCTCCTTTTGCACTAGGTAGAACTCTGGAAGATAGTGATTTTTGTGCTTTGATTCTTCATACACCGTTGCCAGCCACTCTTGCTTACCCTATGTAGTCAGTTATTTATTGAAAGAGAAGAGAAAATAATGGCCACCTAATATAATTTTTCATACTGCTAGTGCAAAACAGTCACATTTTTAACATAAACAATTCAAGGCATTTTTATAGGTCTTCCTTTATGAACTGTGTTTTGAAAAACACTGTGGAGGTAGACGAGAGAAAATAAAGACATAGTGCTTTACACTGCTTGTTATGGCAGGACACTACACGTTACACATACTACATAAAGGGGGATCAAGTCACTGAAAAAAGCTTTCTTATTTTTATTTCAGATAGATCCAAAAACTGATTTGTAGGATGCACTGTAGTTCTACCTCTTGCGTGAGTAAACGCTTACCAGAGTAGCTCCTGTATCTTTTGTGGTATGGAAGAATCAAGTAGTCACATGTGTAAAAAGTGGGAAATTGTTTTTTTCCCCCTTGTTTAAAGCTTATCAAACCTCCTGATCTGTACTATGCTAATGGCTTGCATTTTCCAGTAGCCTCACTTTATATCTTGCTAATCTTGTAATATGAAACTTGAACACAGGTCTCTTGGCACCAGGACAGCATTGTACAGAGCCACCTCTGCTGTGAGCATACCTTTAACAACACCAAGGGGAGAGACATAGTACAGGGTAGCATGCAGGTGAAAGCACACAGATCTTGTTTTGGACTTTGTGGATGTTTGGTAATCTATAATGCTTAAATCATGACTTGGAGCTAAGGCTGCGCATAAGGTGCTTTAGACTGACAGACTTCACCAGTAAATAAACACACAAGCACAGAACAGCAAACCTATTTGGTTGTATAAATAACATCAAGAAATGGGTTGGTAATATGACACTTTTTTGAAATAACCATTTATGGGGGGGGGGGGGGGGGGGGGGTGGTGGAAGATTTCTTGCCTCTGTTGCAGTATTAAGATCCAGTATTTGAAGATGAGGTACTGGATTAGACAAACTGCTAGCCTGATCCAATAAAGCAGTTTCCTTCTTGAAATGCAAGGAGGCGGTGTTGCAGTAGTGATTATTTTAACTGACTTACTGGAACCAAGCTGCAATTGCTTAGTGCACTGTTTTTGCTTTATTTTTCCCTTTTAAAAGCAGGATTTAACAAATTTCTAAAATAAATCTCTCAGTAACATGCAGTCTCACACCAGCTTTTTTAGAGACAGGAGCACAGACCTGGCAAGTCTCTCGCATTCACAGTGATAGTCTGTTATCGGATTTCTTCCACTCCCCCACTGCCGTTTCTGCATCACATATTGATAAGGCAGAGCTGTGGCTTCCGGTCCATCTTGTCACAAAACAGTTAGCTGTGGCGTGTGGGCCTC